CCCGTCTTTCTTGTTTTTGTGTATCCCTATGAGTATAAGTCGAGGGTGAGAGGTAGGGTCTTATTGCACCACATCCTCCTCTCAAACAATTCTTCTCAGCCCTAAACTTTACATGGGTTTAGTCCCATTCTTATAGTTTTTGGAGGAGATGAAGCCATCTTCTCTTGGTTAGATACTGTTAAGTGGGTGATGCTCGCTTTGCGTCCATTAACACACTTTTACGTAACAAAATAAAAATGAACTAGTGACGATACTTACTTTATTTTAATGGATTCTTACAAGTAAGAAAGCAAGTGATCCTTTTCTTTTATTTCTTATTTTCTTCCCTTTTTTCGGTTGTAACTTGAATTGATCCTTAAACGTCCAAGATGCACTTAATTGTATACCACTTAACTACATTGTAAACCATTTACTTTGCATTAAATTCTGTGCATCTTCTGTCTAGTATATCTTTCTGATATTTTTTGTACTGCAGGCATTCATAATTGCTTCAACTGCAACCGAGGAGGAGATGATAAGTTGGTAATGTTTAAAATACTGAGTATTCTTTTTTTTCCATATTTTTTTTCCTTCTTAACCTCTGTTGATTTGGAATATATTGAGAACCATATGAATCTGATTCATTATTCCATATGAATCAAAGTGTTTTTGATTTTTGTAGCTTGCTTCTCCTTCAGGTATCGAGAACACGTTGTGTGGACTGACAAAACACTTAACTTGAAACTGTTGAGGAAGGGCATTTTGACTCGAACATTTGCTCCCATGGTAAGCAAGATCTTTACTATCTTTAAACNGGACTGACAAAACACTTAACTTGAAACTGTTGAGGAAGGGCATTTTGACTCGAACATATGCTCCCATGGTAAGCAAGATCTTTACTATCTTTAAACTAGGGATTGATGGAGAAAGAACATACTTTAACCAGAAATTTTTCTGACTAATTTTGCAATTGTCCATCGATAACTAAGAGGGAGAGAACTTGGGGCAGATATTTGGGTTCGATTTTTTTAATGAAATTGATCATGTTTCTCATTCCCTCTGAAGCCACGGGTCCAACTGTATCATGAATCACTACTTATGAACATCCCCCCCCCTTCCTCCCAATCAAACACAAAAAAAAAAAAAAAAAAGGTATGGTTATCACCTGGAAAAAAGAATATGAACTAATTCTACCTGTATATGGTTTTGTATATGGCACAACTAGATGACGGGTTTTTTNAAAAAAAAAAAAAAAAGGGTATGGTTATCACCTGGAAAAAAGAATATGAACTAATTCTACCTGTATATGGTTTTGTATATGGCACAACTAGATGACGGGTTTTTTTGGTCCAGAGCATTGTCTTAAATAACTGAACGGATACTGTAACAGTTATGGTAACGGTGTATTGGACACGGGGTTTAGAGGGCGTTCCATAACAGTAAGGGAATCCGAAAGTATTATTTATTTATTTGCATTTCTTTGCATGCTTTAGGTCCAAACCAAATAAGCCCAGTTTTTTTTTTTTATTTACAATAAATTTTCTTATGTTATTTACATGATTGGCATGCTAAATTGGTCAATTAATACAAGTGGGCAATAAGTATATATGTGTACACGTGTTTGTTGAGCCCGGGATGTGAGATCTAGCATGTTATCTGAAGTTGAATTTCAAATAGGTGCCATGTGTATCACGAAATCAATCGTTAGATTAGAAAGGTGAAACTGTGTCTTGGAATAGGCTACAGAAAGTGCCTAAACCATTTGTGGGAGAACAGGGGCCCACTCCTGTCACCAAAGTTCTAGCATTGTCAGATACACGCCCCCACATGGTCAACAAGGAGGACACTCATCATTTTTACATTTATCCAACTTGTTGATTCCCACCAACCCCAACAGCCTGCCAACTCATGTGTGGTGTCCACCTGCTCCTCATCTCAAGCCTTGAGGAACATGCACTGCACTGGTCATCTCTTCCGGCTAAATAGACTCCATGGACGAATAGCTAGAAGTTGGAAGAAGAAATTCCATAATGGACGCTACAATGTTGTAATAGGCCACCTCAATGCTTGCTATAGCCTGTCACACCACCATAAAGGCTGTCATGTATGTGANGGTCATCTCTTCCGGCTAAATAGACTCCATGGACGAATAGCTAGAAGTTGGAAGAAGAAATTCCATAATGGACGCTACAATGTTGTAATAGGCCACTTCAATGCTTGCTATAGCCTGTCACACCACCATAAAGGCTGTCATGTATGTGAAAAAATATTCCACCATCAAATTGGAGTGTAATGGTTTTGGCCTAGCCGATGCCGTTCCACAAAGGTTGTTAAGGATGGCGACTACTGATTTCAAAATTATGGTTTGGAGACATATGAGGATGAGAAACTCTAACCATCTTTAACTCTGTTGAATTGTTATAGAAATTTNTGTAATGGTTTTGGCCTAGCCGATGCCGTTCCACAAAGGTTGTTAAGGATGGCGACTTCTGATTTCAAAATTATGGTTTGGAGACATATGAGGATGAGAAACTCTAACCATCTTTAACTCTGTTGAATTGTTATAGAAATTTATCCAGTTTCTTTGAGTATCCATGATGTAATCATTGCATGGTTGGACTCTTGGACCAATATGATCAACTTTGCAAGCCCTGGGCATAAGATTAAGACTTTTGGTCCAAAGAGAAATGTATGGGCAGTTTTATTAGGGTTAATTTCTATCATTTTTTTATTGAATTGTTTGGATAGCTAGTATTTATCTGATTAGGAGTGTTTGCATAGAATTATACGAGAGTAGTACTTGTTTTGGTCGGAAACTAGTCTATAAATAATCATGTAATCCATCTTCTTGAAATCAAAGTGATATAAATAATATAATCATGTTTGAATTGATTATTCTCTACAGGGAATTGTCAGTTTCTTGACCTAATCTTTACAAGGGTTTGGCAATCCATCTCTTTCTTCTCTTCTTCTAGTCCCTGCCTTTCTCTCCCTGTTCTGCATCAATCCATCTCTTAGTTAAGTCACGAACCTTGATGTTTGTTGATGGTCTCTGTTAACATTATGCCCCATCAAACATGAGTGATTTTTTTTGGTTTCATCTTTCAACATTGTTGGGAGCCCAAATTGAGAACATCCTCATCGGAAGGTACTGAAAACAAATAATTCTATGTATAGATATTTGGATGTTATGATTATTACAGCGTCCGAATGCACTACATGATATTGTTCCGTAATTTGGTTTTTCCATCTGACCCTTATGTCCCCTGTTTCATGTTTTAGGTTATCATTCAAAGTTTAAGGGAGTCTGGTGTTTTTAGCTCTGTTATAGCATCTGCCCCATTAACTCTCTCAAAGGAAAGTAGTAACTCATCCAGAGCTGCTGCCTCTAACTCACTTCCCTTAAAAAAGATTGGTAGAAGTAGAGAGTCTCAAGCAACTGCTAGGAGGGCTTTAGAGAATGCAGCTGCCGCAACTCATGAAGCAGCGGTGCCACCTTTGTCTCCGCCAGGTATGGATAGGGACTTCATAATCGAAGCATGATAGGTCTCCACTCATGATTGTTGCTGCTTTTCTTCCTCCTATCATTGTGGTGGTCAAAGAGAACGCGTAATGATGGAGAAGTCTTCGAGCAAGCATATTTGTGGTTGGAGTTCATTCTTGGTTCAATTCTAGTGGTTATTCCCGATCATTACCCAAGCGGAGGTGTACATATATAGAGCTAGAGGGAGGGAGAGAGAGAGAGAGAGAGAGAGATACGCGAGCTCCACAGGTATTGTTACAGGAGATCTTGGCCTTCATTGTGATGTATAGAACTCAAATTGTGGTGACTGGCTGAAATAGTCTTAATTCATTCTAGTGCTCAAGAGAATGTGTTTTGTGGTGTAGTGCAGCAACATTCTTTGCAGTTGGTTTTTATATACTGGACAATCTAGAGATGGAAATATACAAAAGACTATTTGAACAAATATCGAAAACTGGGATATACCACAATGTTGGAACTTGAAAGATCTGATTATCACTTGGATTAGGGCCGCCAATGGGTGAGGTTGTGTTTGAGTTAGGGTTGAATCTATGTTTGTGTTGTTTTAAAATTTGTTCAATTCATACATAGACCGTAGTTTATTTATAATTATGTATAGTTGAGTTTGTGTTTTGTTGAGTTCATGCCGTGTGTGTAAATCTTGTTTAGCAGGTTTGATGAGTCTAAAGAGTTAGACCTTCAATCTGTTAACTTTAAATTCAAAATCATTAATTTCTTGATGATTTCGTGTTTGGTCTGTGAATTGTGTCTAGAATCAGGCCAAAACTTGGATAAAAAATGTATCTATCCATAAGTTAGCAGGACTTCATTCGTAAAAAAAATAATAGAAATTGTAAGAAAATAACTGCTATTATACATGTTTTCTTTGCTTTGCTTATAATAAGCTAAATTTGGTATTTATATATTCACCAGCAATAACTCGTGTTTTCAAACACTGGAATATAAAAAATTGAGCACTAATTATGCTAATATTTATATTTTAAAAAAATATTTTATTTTTTAAAATTACATAACTTAAAATTAAAATAAACAGAGAAAAAAAATAAGAAAAGTAAGAGAGGGAAGTAGGTGTAAATTATTGGAGTTGTTTAGTAACCAACATAGGGTATGTTTGATAACTCAAATTCCGCACTTAAAATTAATGTATTCAACATTAATTAATTAAGCTCATTTAATAACTAAAATTTAAGCTCTTTTAATATGTTAAGTGCTCCTTAAAAATAGACTATAATATTAAGTAGGAGATTCATTACATAATTCTGAAAGCTGAAAGTACTCAGTAAAATCATCTTTAAGAATATTTAAAATATAATAATTATACCTCGAAATATTTTACAATCCTATTAAAACTTTAATTAGTCTTCTCTTTAAAACATCTAACCTATATATTCTCTTTGTCGATTTTTTTTTCTCTTTTTTTCTATAACAAAAATATATATACACAATTATAATTACACACAAACGCATGCACTGCACATACAATTACACAAATGGACTACACACACACACATATGTATACTGTTAATAAAATCTAATTTATTGTATTTTTTTCAATATTATTTGATTATTTATTAGTTATTATTCTCTTTTTTTTTTAATTAGATGTTATTGTTCATTTATTATTTTATTCAATTTTTTATTGTTTACTTATTGTGTTATTCAGATGTTATTTATTTATTTTGATCAAATATTTGTTAAATGTAGACTATAATATAATAGTGATTATAATTTATGTTATGACATATTTTATAAATATTTTTAAATTAAAGAGTGGTAGGGTAAAACTGAAAATTAATTTATCAAACAGTTTAGTTCAATTCAGTACTTAAATTCCAGTGAATATCAAGCAGTCCACAAATTCAACATTCAACTTTCAATTTTCAGAGTTCAGTTTTCAATTTTATCAAACACCACTATTGGGCTTCACTGAAAATGGGTAGTATTGATATTATGTTTGCATCACATAAACTTTGTGGGGCCTGAATACAATATTCCAAATATGATGGGGCCTAAGTTATAAATGACAAAAGTCTGAGAGTTCGAGTGTAATTTACTCAAAAACCGAATGAAAACACAAGCCAATATAACACTATCCATCCCCCCAGGTGAGTAACCAAAACCATGGGGAGTCTCATCGTCTCTCACTCAACCTCTGTCGCTCTCCGTCGTACCCACAAATCACCACCTCTACTCTACACCTCCAACCCACCGTCCGTTCCATTCTCCGGCCAATTGGGTTGCCGGAAAACCAGAGGTCTGTCGTTGGTGACACGCGCAGGTCCGAGCACCAACAGCTATATATTTGCATTTGTGTTCCCTCTCTCTCTTCTGGCCGTCACAATCTTCACTTCCGCCAGAGTCGCTGATAAGCTCGACGAAAAATTTCTTGAAGAGGTATGACTATTAATTGCTCGTGTCTAATTGTTATGCAAAGTTCAAATCTCTATGGTTGTGCCTAAAGTAGAAGATCTGAATTGTTTCTGGTTTTGTAGAATTTTAATTTTTATTGGTCTGATTTTTTTATTTTTTATTTTTGTGAAGACTGTTTTTGTGTAAGCATTCTAGGTGTTTGATGGAATATACACAATGGGTTCCAAGACACTTGTTGCCCAGAAACAATATAGGGTTGAAAGTAGGCCTGGTAATTGATGGTAATTCTAGACAAAACCCGCAAACTCGATACGAAAATGACCAGTGAATTAGTGGATTTTGGTTTAGCTTAGCGTATTCATATGGTAAATGGGTGGGGATCCATTAGGTCACGAATCTTTTAAATACAATTTATACATGACACCAACCCAACCCCTTTTGGAGGAGAGGGTTGTTTATCAGAGCANTTCATATGGTAAATGGGTGGGGATCCATTAGGTCACGAATCTTTTAAATACAATTTATACATGACACCAACCCAACCCCTTTTGGAGGAGAGGGTTGTTTATCAGAGCAAGTTCGAATCTCGCAGCCACCAAAAATTTTCGCGTGCTAGGCCCAAAATCTAGCCTGCACATTAGGGGGTGTGTTAAAGAATAAATAATTAAGTTATACCCTCTCATTAGCTTAAACTTTTGAAGGAGATGATTGTTTAACAAGATATGATATAGACTATATAGTATGGGTTGTTTAATTTTAATTCTATATGGCTAAAACACAACACNGAAGGAGATGATTGTTTAACAAGATATGATATAGACTATATAGTATGGGTTGTTTAAATTTTAATTCTATATGGCTAAAACACGACAANTAATTAAGTTATACCCTCTCATTAGCTTAAACTTTTGAAGGAGATGATTGTTTAACAAGATATGATATAGACTATATAGTATGGGTTGTTTAATTTTAATTCTATATGGCTAAAACACAACACGAACCTGAAACAGTACGACCCATCGCTAGTTGAAAGATTGTGGTTGAACCTTTGTTGTTATTTTCATATATGGCTCCATCATGTGAAAATACTGAAATTGCTACTCAAACACCTTAATGCTTCACTTCACAATCAAATAATCATTGATGATCCATTTTGTCTGCAACCTTATAAGCTTCATGATAGTGGAAAACAATAGGTACAATTTTCCATGCATGTTGCTGCAGCCATGCTCTGATCTGTCTTTGCAAATAGGCAATTTCTTATGACCCTAAAAACCTCCCACCAAAATATGAACCAGCATAAATAATCGNATGCTTCACTTCACAATCAAATAATCATTGATGATCCATTTTGTCTGCAACCTTATAAGCTTCATGATAGTGGAAAACAATAGGTACAATTCTCCATGCATGTTGCTGCAGCCATGCTCTGATCTGTCTTTGCAAATAGGCAATTTCCTATGACCCTAAAAACCTCCCACCAAAATATGAACCAGCATAAATCATCAGATAGAATGATAACCAGAAATTCAAATAGTAATAGAAACAACGAGCCATTATGGAAAGTTCTGTAGATGGTTACTATACTGGGACAAGAGCTATTGAACTTTCAAAAACTTTTACAAAGAAGTGTTGCTAGAGTTCTAAATCATGCCTCCAGCCATTGTGAGGCCTAAATCATTAGGGACAGCCATCCACTTTGAGCTTGAAAGATCTACCCCGTTCTTGTACTGATGTTTAGGTCACCCACTTTAAAAAGTCGTACCCAGTGTACAAGGTTTTGCCTTTTTTTCTGGGTAAGTACTTACTATCACTGTGTTATGCAAAGGGCCCCAAGATTAACAAACCTGTAAACTAGGACACATCTTTAAATCTTCTCAACCATTACCATTAGGTCTCATCCCTACATTGAGGTAACTACATAATTTTACCACTAAGATTAGTAATAACTGGTAATAACATAATTTTATCCCGGTAAGTACTTAGTTTTAATTCTAAATTAGTAATAACTTGTAGCCCCTCTTTTGACTTTGTTGAGGACATTATTTTATGGATAGCTTGAAGAGTTCTACAAATCCTTTTTGGAATTAACTGCCTTTACTTGTAATTGCCACCGAGATTACTTAAATTAGTGAATACTTTTTTCCAGTAAGTGGAATTTATTAATTATTGAATACTAAAGCTGCTTGAGTTAACCAGTGCTTAGCTAGATTGATCTNATTGCCACCGAGATTACTTAAATTAGTGAATACTTTTTTCCAGTAAGTGGAATTTATAAATTATTGAATACTAAAGCTGCTTGAGTTAACCGGTGCTTAGCTAGATTGATCAGGCTGCATTGATTGTTTGTGTAGTTGTATATAAAGCCTATGTAAATAGTACCACTTCGATACCATTCTGACAATTTTTAGACGAGTTACGACCGTGTGTTATCAAAGTTCTAATCAATGAGGTCAAAAAATTAGGGATCAATCCTAAAAGGTTGCAATCGATCCCAGCTTTTTTAGATAGATCCTTATTCAGTCCTATTAGGTTATGACTATCTGATTGGCTTGTAACATTCGTATAATATCTAAACATTATTGTTGGATATGGTAGGAAAATGCTAATGCTATGTACATTTGACTCGTGGAACCACTATTCTTTTAGTCATAACTTTGTCTCAAAATTTTGGCCTCTTTTTTAATATATTGATTCTTGATCTATCACTAAAAGAGAAGTAGGATTACTTATCAAAAAAAGAGGATTATGATTTAATTTGAATGTTTTCAAGGCTTGTTTCGACTAGCAGTTTCTCTGTAGCCCCCAAAAGCATAGTGGGGGGAGCGTGTAGGAGGAAGCAAACGAATGTATCAATAAAATTATTCTTCCATATAAATCGTCGCGATATGAACTTTGTCAATAGATTTTTAGCTAACTCATGTTCCTATTGATCAATTCCATCCTTAAGCTTTACGAAAGTAAGATTTCTTGTAACTGTGGATTATGGGCATTTCCCTATACAGTGCAAAAGGAAACTTACGAAAATGAGAAAGACACTAGAGCAACAAACATCATATTGACTATAGGCCCATAGGCGCGAGATGTACCTTATTTGGAGTGGTTTTTTTGGGGGAGGGGGGTTCCTAGACATAGTCCTTTTAGGCTATGGGCGTTTAGTCCATGGTCCATTGGATGGTCGATGATGCTTGTGATAGTGAGTTTGCTGTTTTGGCACTAAATTTTTCACAGTTTTGCTTATAAATTTTGTTGTTCAATGAATCAGCTTGAAGTCAATCAAGCAATACTAGAAGCAGAAGAGTATGCTGGTGATGCTGTCATTTCTTTAGAAGAAGAACCTGCACTCCCACGCTCTCGTAATCGACCAAAACGAGAAGCTGAGCCTTCATCAGAAAGAGCCAATGCTATAGTAGATAACCAAACACAGGGAATATAGCTGTAGCTTACTTCTAGTATGTAGTTGATTTTGAAATTTTAGTATTGTGTTGGTTACAACTTGTATTTCGACAATTCGAGTATGCATTTCCTCAAAAACCACTATAGGTGGACTAAACTACATGCATTACCATGTTTCCTGAATGGATCAATGAGACGACGACATTCACCCAGCAGAATAAATTAACCACTGTAACCTCAAAATTTAAAACTGATGGGGGAGGAGAACCCTCATATTTACAACTTACAAAGCATGACCATGATGAACTTTGTTCTGAACACCACACAGACCTCCTATAGTTTATCTTCAGAACAGGAGATAAAATCTCTGAGCCAGAGAACTACAACAATTCAGGTACAACTTGAGGACATGTATGGCCTCCATTTGTTCTCGGTTTCGAACATTTACTTGGGCAAGCACGCGAATGTGGTTAACAAGGTGGAAAGCTTCAACAATCACGTGCACATCTTACGCTGCTGGGATTGCTTTACAATCCATCAAAACGTACAAATCTATTGTAGTGAAACAATTTACAATCTCAGGTTTGATGCTTCAGAAGGTCAACCCTTTCCTTTGGCTGATCCATCACGTAGTCACTCCATCCCAGAAGCTGAGGATTTGTCAGAGAAACTGGATATACACATTCTAAGGAATGAATGAGTGATTTGTCAGAGAAACTGGATCCAGAACAACAAGGGTTGATGATGATTTTGAAGTGCAGTTGATAGGTATCGAATTATATTTCGTAGGCACAGATGTTTTTAAATTCTCTCTCTTTTTTCAGTCTTTTCGTCTTTCTTTCTCATTCCTAATTTTTTTCCTTTCTAATTTACATCAGCAAAAGAGCTCTTTTGCGTTATATTCAACAGGGGCGACAGAAGGGGAAGATTTCAATACATATATTTATCTATTATGAAAAAAAATAAAAGAAAATTTGCTGCAACATCAGAAATGTTCATGGCCAGAGCGGGTATAAAAATAAAATTCTGGAGCCTCCAATTATTGAACTTTAGTTAAAACAAAATAACATACCCCACATCACCAGATGAGAAAAAGTTATATTAAAAAAAAAAACACAAATTCCCACTGAAATCCGCCATAATTATATGATGTCCAGGGAACAACCTGACACAAACATCAGAATACAACAAAATCTGACAACCCAAATCACATATGAATCATTCCTTTCTGCTGTCGACTCGAACTATTCCAACAAGAAGCCAACAGAATTCTGACACATGCCTGGAATCAGGCAACCAATCACCAAATTTTCATTTGAATATAATATTAGAGAGAAACGAATTGTGGTCAAAAAATTAATCTATTTTTTACAAATCACTTGTATTTATAATTAATTTATAATAACACAAAAAACGTATACACCCTCTAATATTTATACATAATACCCTAATACTCTTAATATTCTCTCTCACATTGGACTATATATATATATATATATAATATAATTCAAGCTTGAAACAAATTGATGTAAGACATGTACGACTCAATACTTTGGTAAATATATCTACAAACTGATCTTTAGATTTTACAAATTGGGTCATAATCTTTTCAGCTACTATCTTATCTCGAATAAAGTGACAATCAACCTCAATATGTTTGGTTCTTCTGTGAAACACTAGATTGACAACGATATGGATAGTTATCTAGTTGTCATAGAACAACTGTAAAGGAGGCTGAACTGGAAATCCAATTTCCTGGAGGAAGTGTAGTAGTCAAGTCAACTCACTCGTCGTATTCGTCGTATGCGTCATTGACCTATACTTAGCGTCAACATTGGATTTCACTATCACGAGTTATTTTTTTTACTTTTTCATAAGACAAAGTTACCTCCTAAAAAAATACAATAACCAGTGGTTGATCTTCGATAAAAAAGAAAGCTAGCCTAATCAGCATCTGAGAAAACCTTACATTCTAAGATGTCCATTGGCTCGATATAACAATCCAAGGCCAGGAGCACATTTGAGATATCGCAGGATACAAGTAAATGCCTCTTAATGTGGTACTCTAGGAAATCCCATAAACTGACTTACTATACCTGAGTCGAGTAATAGTGAGATAATTGAGCTTCCCAACGACCCGAATTCTCAAACAGTGCACCATCATTCATTGACAGTTTCTAATTCGGATCCATATGAACATCAATCGGTCTGCCACCCACCAAACCTACTTCCTCTAACATGTCAAATACATATTTCCTCTAGGATAAATAAATACCCTAGTTAGATCGAACCACTTCAATACTTAAGAAATACCTGAGTTTTTCCAAATCCTTAGTATGAAATCGGTCTCACATGAAGATTTTTAACTTGACAATTCTCTTATAATCATTTTCAGTAATCACAATATAACAATATCATCTACATAGACCACCAATAGAACATATCTAACATCCGTTTGCCTATGAAACACCGAATGGTCTATCTGACATCGAAGAAGACCAAACTCTAAAACTACATTTGAAAACTTACCAAATCATGCCCTCGTTGACTGCTCCAAACCATATAAAGATTTTTTTAACCAACATACACTCTCACCGTACTCCCCCTGAGCAGTAAACTCAAGTAGCTGCTTCATGTATACCTCTTCAACCAAGTCACTATGTAGGAAGACATTCTTGACATTTAACTGAAACAAGGGCAAATCAGGATTAGCAGCCAAAGAAATCAAGATACGAACAGAGAAAATTTTGGCAATAGGAGAGAAAATCTCTCATAATCAACACTATAGGTCCGAGTAAAGCCCTTTGCAATAAGTCGGGCTTTGAGACGCTCCAAAGAATCATCCAGATGAAATTTAACAGTATACACCCAACAGTTCGATTACCAAGAGGTAAATGAACGAGATTCCAAGTCCCATTATGATGTAAGACATTCATCTCCTCCTCCATAGCTTTTCTCTAACCCGAATCAGATAACGCATCCTGTAAGTGCTTAGGGATAGAGATAGTAGATAATTGAGAGGTAAAATAAGAGAAGACATGAGACAAGACATTATATGAAACAAAATGAGCAATAAGATGATTAGTAACACACGAACGAGTACATTTTCGAAGAGTAATAGGTAAAGAGTCTAAATTATCTGATGTACCAGGATCGGCGGATGGCAAGGAAGACAGTACGTGCACCTTAGTCGATGGGCAAGGACAACGAGAGTATACACGAAGAGGTAAAGTAGATGGTAAGATAGTTGGCAACAAAATATCTGATGGTGAAAGAAGAGATGGTGGTACAAGAGACAACCCAAAGTCTAAATCCAAAGGCTGAGCAGGTGCCATAAAATATGAAACAGATTCATCAAACATAACATCAGCACTAGTAAAGTATCATCGTAGGGAAGGATTATAGAAACGATACCCCTTCTGTGTGCGAGAATATCCAAGAAATACACATTTGGTAGCCCGAGGGTCAAGTTTATCAAACTCAGGGCTCAAGTTGTGAACATAACACACACCTAAAAACTTTAGGAGTTGAGAAAAAAAGGGTTTACCAGAAAAAAAGACAGAATATAGACTTTGCCCATTTAACACAGAGGATGACATACGATTAATAAGATGATAAGCAGTCAGAACAACATCACTTCAAAAATATCAGGGAATATTCATTTGGAATAACATTGCATGAGTGACTTCTAATAAATGACGGTTCTTGCATTCAGCAACACCATTCTATGAAGAGGTATAAGTACAAAAAATTTGATGAATAATGTCAGTTTTACTAAGATAAGCTGAAAAAGAATCAGATTCATAATCCTGAGCATTATCAAAACATAAAATATGTATACGACAATCATACTGAATTTTTATTTCCTTGCTAAAAGTCTCAAATATAGAGAATAATTTAGAACAGACTTTCATCAGAAACAACCATGTCACACAAAAATAATCATCTTTAAATGACACAAAATAAGAATATTTATTAGATGAAATATTCTTTATTGGACCCCATACATCAAAATGTACGAACTCAAATGGACTAGACACACGATTATAGACTCTTGACTGAAAGGACACACGGTGATGCTTACTAAGTTGGCATGCTTTACAAGACATAAACGAAACATAACTAAAACTGGGAACTTGGCGCTTCAGATTCTGGAGAGAGGGATGTCCAAGATGACAATGTCATTGAAAAGGAGACAACGAGATCTGTAGAGCCTGAGTAGATGAATCAAGGTCAAAGTAATATATGCCATCAGTTTCATATCCCGTACCAATCTTCCTCTTCTTCTTGAGATCCTAAAATATACAATAAGAGGAATAAAATGTTACAGAACAATTGAGAGAACGAGTAATCTTACTAATGGAAAGTAAACTAAAAAAAACTGAGGAACAAATAACACGGAGGATATGGACATATCAGGACTCAAGTGAGTACTGACTAGTCCTCAAACCTGCAACTTTAGAGCAAGTACCATTAGCAAGAGTAACACAATGTGTGAAAGTAACAGACTAATAAGTAGAAAAAATATCAGACGCACTAGTCATGTGGTCAGAAGCGCTTCTATGATCCAAGGACTGCGAGTGGAGGACAATAAACAAGTGGAAGCGGTACCTGACTGGACAAAAGTTGCAGTTGAAGAAGATGGAACAGTTTGTTGCTGGGACAGGAACTGAGTATACTTCTCTTGTGGAATAGTAACCAACCCAGAGTTTGGTTGAGCTAACTGAGGTATGGAAGCAACAATCGAGGTGTCATAATGATAGGAAACCTGATTAGCAGCACCAAAAGATTTTTCATGTAAATCCCAACAGAAATCAACAGTGTGCCCTCCACAACCACAACGAGTACAAGAACGAGGTCCATTACGGCCCCTACGACCACTCGTATGACCTCCACGACCACCTTGATGACCACGTCTACCTCGACGACCATCGTTGTGGCTACTAGGAACCACCAGAGCTGAACGATTAGTGGAAATACCATGATCAATGCCTGAAGGACTTGTAGACAAAGTAGCACGCTTTAAACGGGAGAAAACCT